GAAAAAATAAAAAAAAAAAAAAAAGAAGAAACCAGAAGTTGGTGTAATGGCTACATCACTGGACTCCCACATCACTGGACTTCCACATAGTAAATTGAGGTTCGAGTCCCAGACCCGGAAGCTTAAAACTCGTGCCAATGTGTGTGTGTGCGTGCGTGCCCAAGATCCCAGAGGAGAATGCAGAAGGGACTGTGGAATGCCATCCCCCCTGGGGGGTGATTTCTCACTTTCCACATCTCTGGTTCTCTCTGTCTCTCTCCAATGAGTGCATACACACAGTAGCAAAAACTTTGTTTCAAGAGAGATTTTTGCTATAGGGCACTTGCGCACGCCAGAGAGACAGAAAGGGGGAAATCCCCCTGCCAGGGTGGATGGCCACACCACAATCCCTTCTCCTCCATTCTCCTCTTGGGATCTTGGGCACGCACGCACACGCGCCTGCTGTGAGTTTTAAGCTACTGCGTCCGGGACTCGAACCGCAGACGACTCTGTGAGAGTCCAGTCATGTAACCATGAAGTCATCTGCTGGTCTCAATAACAAAAACTTAAAAAAATAAAGAGAGAGAAAGGTTCAGATGAGGTGCCCTCCCTGTTTGGACTGACCCCCTTGGTCCCCCCCCCACTTCCTCCTCACCTGCCCGGGGCAGGACTGTGGTTCTTGTCGGCAGTTCGAGCCCCGATGGTGAACACCACGCCCGGGCTGGGCTCCGCCTCTCCAGGGAGCCCGAGGCGATTGGACAGCGGTCGGCGTCCCTGAAAAGCGTCTCCGGATGACGCCGCCTCCAAGCGGACTCGTAGGTGCCGCGCCACAATCCAGGGACTCCCGGGCCCGCTGCGGAGACATCGAAGAGACATGGAAGTCCCTGAGCGTGGGCCGCCCTGGGAACCTGGGGACTCAGACTCTGAGATGCCCTCAGGGAGAAACCCAGACTGGCCCAAGACCTGTGGCTCAGCCCTGCTGTTCTGCTGAGCAAATGCACCTCTCTGAGCCTCGGGTTTCTCATCTGCAAAATGCATGTGAGGTCTTGGGGCCAGCAGCTGGCCTCATGGCTACGTCGTTGGACTCCCATGTAGTCGACTGCGGGTCGAGTCCCGGACCCGGTGGCTTAAACCCACGCCGGGTGCATGTCCATGCGTGCCCAAGATCCCGCGAGGAGAATGGAGGAGAAGGGATTGCGGCGTGACCATCCCCCCTGGGGGGTGATTTCTCGCTTTCTGTCTCTCTGTCTCTCTCTGTCTGTCTGGCAAGTGCCCTATAGTGACAACCTCTCCAAAATTTAAAAAAAAAAAGGGATGTGAGATCTCTCTCTTTTTTAGTGTTTTTTTCCTTAGGGCATTTGCGCTTGCCAGAGAGAGAGAGAGAGAAACAGAGACAGAGGCAATGAGCAGGAA